TGGTGGGCAGATAATGTATTTAACAGGGATGGTAGACAAGAGGACCCTGGAAAAGTATGAGAGAGAAGCCAAGGAGAAGAACAGAGAAACTTGGTATCTGTCATGGGCTCTTGATACAAACCTTGAAGGTACAGTGTGAACTATTTTGTTGGATATGTATGAATATTTGTTTCTTGTTCATTTTCTACATGACCATCCTCTTGAAAAGGTTCTGGTCATTTTATCATATATGCCTAAATGGAACACACACAGCTCCATGTATGTGATAATTTTAAGATCTGTGTGATTGACCAGGACAGGAAACAAGTGTATACATGAGAAGTAAAATGTAAGTTGTTTTTTCCAAGACATGCATATTAATAAAGTGCATTATGGATCAAAATGTCAAAATGAAATAAATGAACTCTGGCTGTCCATAGGCAATGTTTCTTTGCTTCGTTGCAATGCACATCATTGTTCAGTATATTTTTTACACTTCGAAATGTTACTGCTTGAAGGGAGTTTTTAAATTTCTAATTACTAGTTTTCAATTGTGTGAGTGTGAGTTTATGAATGAATGAATGAACAAAGGAATCATCACTCACACTACAAGTTTGACCGTTTTTTATATTATCGCAAGGAGTGATAGTGTTTAAAGCACTTCCAAGACAGTAAGCAAGCAAGCAAGCTAGCCAGCTCCTTGCTGTGAGCATGTATTGCTCTCCCCATTACAGCTGTCCTTCTCCTGGTCTCCTTGATGGATATCCTCTCAAACTGATATTTTATGCAGGAACATGATAGAAAATAACTTTATTTACCTTGATTTTTGAAGTTGGCATTCTTATTGCACAGCAGACTCCTGCTGTTAACCCCATGGATCCAGTTGTGTCACAGCAATCACATCACCAAATATCTAGGCACTAGGCTAACATGATCAGCCCCTCTGCTGGGTGGCAGCTTGTAGGCCACGCACATGTGAACCTGTCTTCGTGGTGACAAGACTGAATCATCTTTACAAAGTTATTTCCACTTTTTTACACACAAGCCTTTTTAGCTTTTTTGCCATTTTCCAAAGTCCATATTTGACATTTGATTTGCATAATCCATATGATAATAGACTGTCTTCTTTGCACAGACTCCATATAAACTAGATGGTCTACAACTTTGTGAAAGAAAAATAAAAAAAATTGTAACACTGTAATTTGTCCTTTTTTTCATGATATTCAATTTTCTGTAATACGACCTGGGTTGCTGATCACAACACAAGGAATACAATCCTCAGCATTGTATTCCTGCCACTCTTCCAGTCATGGCTCACTGACCTTGCACTCAAACATTGATGCAAATAATGACTCTAAAAGTCCAAGGTTTGTGCACTTGTGGCGAGTCTTTCCTTTTACCCCGGCTTTCAGCCAATATGCAGGTTTGTCACCTGGCCTATAGACAGATTTTCTCATTCACGTCACCCGGTCCTTCGAGACAGATTTATCCATGACATGATGGTCATGTCACTTGAATTGAAGAGGTTAATATATTGAAGATTTGGGAAGACAGTGGAATATTTAACTTTTTACATGCATGGTACATTTTGGTTCAAGGTGCTTCATATAAAATCTAGGTAAACAAATTTAGAAGTCTTTTTAGGTTTATTTGTTGTTTTAATGGTTGTGTGTGTATTTCTAAGTACCAGTGATTTTTTTTATGTATCCTATGGCTATTGTGACAGGATTATTAGAATAAGGGATGTGTAACAAACTTCCTGCAATCCAAATAAACAAGTTGAATGATTGATCATGATTCTATCAAAGAAGATGCAGTGTAAGGTTTCAAAGGTTTTATTAGTTCTTTGCAAGTAAGTAATATTATGAAAAATGAATATCACTTGATTCCCCCCCCCCCCCTTTTTCTTTCACAGAACGAGACAAGGGAAAGACAGTAGAAGTTGGTAGAGCGTACTTTGAGACAGAGCAGAAGCATTTCACAATTCTTGATGCCCCAGGTCACAAGAGCTTTGTCCCTAACATGATTGGTGGAGCTTGTCAAGCTGATCTTGCTGTATTGGTAAGTGTTGGAAATATCCACATAGTTGCTGTGGAAAATGAGAATTACAGGAAAAAATATACATTTAATGCATAGAGAAAGAAAGAGAAAGGAGACCGAGGTAGGGTTGTTAGTAGAAAGGTAGGAATATAGGTTTAGGATACACAAGGATATTTGATCTTATTTTTGCAGGTTATATCAGCACGAAAAGGTGAATTTGAAACGGGCTTTGAACGAGGTGGCCAGACGAGAGAGCATGTCATGCTGGCTAAGACAGCAGGGATTAAACATCTTATTATTCTCATTAACAAGATGGATGACTCCACAGTACAGTGGTCAGAAAAACGCTATAATGAATGTAAGGAGAAACTCGTCCCTTACTTAAAAAAGGTATTTATTCTCTCTGTGTGTTTGTGAAAACCGTATTTTGCTTCAATTTTGTCATGTGTATATATATTTAAATATATATATATATATATATATATATATATATATATATATATATATATATATGTATCATGTATCATATTTATTAAAATATACATTTTTCTTTCTCTAGGTTGGGTTTTATAGCAAAGATATCACATTCATGCCATGTTCAGGGCTAACTGGTGCTAACCTTCGAGACCCAATTGATGAAAATGTATGCAGTTGGTTTAAGGGCCCAGCCTTTATCCCATATATCAACGATCTGCCTCCCTTGAATCGTAATGTTACAGGACCTTTCATGATGCCTATAGTTGATCGCTACAATGACAGAGGAACAATTGTCATGGGTAAAGTGGAATCTGGTGGTTGCAAGAAAGGGGATAACCTTCTTGTGATGCCAAATAAGGTGAGATGATTTTCCGTGTTTGAGATATATTATTATTATTACTTTTTTTTTTTTTTTTTCTCTCTCTTATTTCCTCTTGATTATTGAAATGTGGAGTGAAAATGAAAAAAAAAAAAAATATATATATATATAATGTATGATATATACACGCCATATATGTGTACTTATGTATGTATATGTATATGTATACGTATGTATGTATATGTATACGTATGAATACATATGTATACATATGTATGTATATCTATACGTAAGTATGTATATCTGTACGCATGTATGTATATCTGTACGTATGTATGTATATCTGTACGTATGTATGTATATCTGTACGTATGTATGTATATCTCTATGTATGTATGTATATCTATATTTATGTATGTATATCTATACGTATGTATGTATATCTTTACATACATATGAGTATGTATGCTTATGTATGTATATGTATACGTGTGTATTTGTATGTTTACGTATGGATGGATATGTATACTTATGTATAGATATATACATATATATGTATATATACATATGTGTATCCATGTTTATAGATGGTTATTAATGTATGTGTACATATATATTAACGTATATGTACATGTATATTAATGTAGATGTACATATATGATTGTATTTATCTGTATTTATAAGCATATATACACATATGAATGTATTTAAACGTATGTATAAATGTATATACAAATACATAATTATACATATATATGTATATATGGAATGCGATGAATGTGTCTACAAATATACAAATAAATACGTATATATAAGAATATGTATATACATATATAAATGTTTATATATACATATATAAATGTTTATATATACATATATAAATGGTTATATATACATATATAAATGGTTATATATGCTTATATAAATGGTTATATATGCTTATATAAATAGTTATATATATGTATATGTATATATATAAATGGTTATATATATATATATATATATATATATATATATATATATATATATATATATATATATATTAAATGTGTATATATACATAGATGTATATATATAAATGAATATGTACATGTACATATATATATATATATCTATATATATATATATATATATATATATATATATATACACACACACATACTTACGTACACGTGTATATATACATACATACGTACACATGTATATATACACACATACGTACACATGTATATATACATACATACGTACACATGTATATATACATACATACGTACACATGTATATATACATACATACGAACACATGTATATATACATACATACGAACACATGTATATATACATACATACGAACACATGTATAAATACATACTTACGTACACATGTATATATACATACATACGTACACATGTATATATACATACATACGTACACATGTATATATACATACATACTTACACATGTATATATACATACATACGTACACATGTATATATACATACATACGTACACATGTATATATACATACATACGTACACATGTATATATACATACGTACGTACACATGTATATATACACACATACGTACACATGTATATATACACACATACGTACACATGTATATATACACACATACGTACACATGTATATATACACACATACGTACACATGTATATATACACACATACGTACACATGTATATATACATACATACGTACACATGTATATATACATACATACGTACACATGTATATATACACACATACGTACACATGTATATATACACACATACGTACACATGTATATATACATACATACGAACACATGTATATATACACACATACGTACACATGTATATATACACACATACGTACACATGTATATATACACACATACGTACACATGTATATATACATACATACGAACACATGTATATATACACACATACGTACACATGTATATATACACACATACGTACACATGTATATATACACACATACGTACACATGTATATATACACACATACGTACACATGTATATATACATACATACGTACACATGTATATATACACACATACGTACACATGTATATATACATACATACGAACACATGTATATATACACACATACGTACACATGTATATATACATACATACGAACACATGTATATATACACACATACGTACA